ACAGTTCAGGTCATCGGCGGCCTTCTGCGTTTTTTTACTTCTTATTTTAGTCTTTCACGTCTATTTTCAACCTGCTGCCATTTGAGCGGCTCGATATGTACTGACTGCTATTTGGCCTCTTTCAGACGAGGCGGTTTTGTTGATTCAACTATGTTGCCCGGTTGACTCTCCACTAGTTTACTGCGGTGTGAAGACTTTCTTTGCTGGTTTCACACCAGGCAACTGGTGGAATCAACCTTTCTTCCCAACGGGAGGTCAGTACGATGTTAGAACCCGAGAAAGCAGGAACACTTCTTATGGTTGCTCTTCTGCAACAAGAGAATCAAAAAAGGAGGAAACCCAGTAAAGAAAAGTGTGGACTTATACGTTGTTATAAAGTTGGAAAACAGGCGCTTTCTCTCAAATACTGTTATGCTACTTCCTTCCAAGCTTCGCTTCTTTTAATTTTATCACTGTGTTTCTCACACCAAATGTCTCATATCACGGGACTAATACGAATATCTTCAATGAATCATTGAAACTTGTAATTGCAACGTTTTCCATGGTGAAGTCAGTTGGCTCAACTAGGCGACTGTGAAGGACGGATGCCGAGAAGTGTCTTTTGAGTCGAATCAACCAGTGGGGAGGAGAACGTGAGCGGCACTTGCGCCTGCTAGCCACCCGCCTGGGCGGACGAGTTGACTGCGTGTGAAGGGGTTGGGGCGATTCCCAAACATTTTGCTACCACTTTACACTCCTTGACACCCGTCCGTTCAACTGCCTCGTCTGAAAGAGGCCAAGTCGATATTCTAAAATTCTAGCCTCTCGTTTGTACCTCAGGTTGTTAACCAAAGCATAAAACATGCAATATATATACATCACCGCAAACATAGAAGTCCGGTCGCCTTCTCTCCCCACAGAGTACACTTATTCTTCGGGACGTGGTTGACCCCACTCCATTCTCGCTAATAACTTACTTTTACTCTCGAGACGTCACACACTAACCCCATAGAACCCGACATTCCTCGGAAGGTTTTAATATTTCACACTGCCCTGTGGCACTCCATTCCAATCGAAATCTTCTTTGTTTTCAAAAAGTTCCAAATAAATAATAGAATATTTGATAAATTTCAATCCTAAAACTGTTTTATTCTTTTTTTATGTTAGTGAATGTAATTACTTTTTAAAAACTGTATAAATCAATGTTTACTTCTTTCCAGTAAGCTTTATATCAAATATAAAATTGGTCGGCGTATCTGTGTATAACAGAGGCTTTTTTTGACATTATTTATGTTTTTTGTTTGTGATTTTTTTATAGAAATTAATGTTATACACACGATGAAGAGCAATGGTGAAAATAGATCAATTTGGTAATGTTCATTTTTGTTCAGCTATTGTATCTACCCTTGTTCGACCACTATTCAGTCGCGTTTTCACTTATTCAACGAACCTTTTCCCCCCTTTTTTTAAGGGCGGCATTGCAGTTTCGTTTTACGTTTTTCCTAGCCATGTCAATACATTCTTTCCGTTACTTCCCATGACGACTCTTTTTTTTTCTCTCCCTTCAGCCGAGGTATGTGTAGCGACTGTTCAATATTCAGACGACTTCCCACTTGGAAACGGCCCACATGAAAGGACCTCAACTAAGACCCTCGACACCCACATAAGCCCATCCGTTTAATGGCAACCGTAGCGTTTTCACGACTCTTCTTCCAGTCTTAAAATGTAAATTCGTCTTAAGATTGTAGCCGTAATAATAAAATTAACACTGAACTCACCGATGATTAAACTGGTTTCCCGTAAAATGGAAGGTCGTTAATATTGAGTACCATATTCGATGGGAATAATCTTGAAAGGAATAGTTTTTCCGAAGATGTTAAAACTGTTCAGTTTTTGTAATGTAGGGTTGTTTTTTTCACAAATATGTAAGGATTAAACAATTTGATTGGTCTTGGGATATTAGACTAAGGACAAGCTAATTCATCCTTGTCTGTTTACTGTTCCGGTTAATTTCCTGTATATAATGTTTCCTGCGTAATACTTTACTAAAGTGAGCAGGTTTGGCTGTAACCTAGATTTTAAAAAATTAGTAATAAAAGAACACGAAGCAGAAACGAAAACATAAATTTTAAACTGTAATCAATTCTCAGTATGAAATGTACCGCGTTATATCAACAAAAAAAAAGTCAAAACGTCTTAAAGCTCATCGTACGCAGTGGACGTCTAAAGCAATCACCGTTGAAAATACGGTTTCAACTCGGGATGATTTGACTTTCAAATTGGTGAATTTATTTACATAAAAATTGGAAAATCGTTCGCAGGGACACATTTTGACAGCGGAAGCGGATTATATTTGTTGCCCTCTTGGGAAATAAGCTCGTAATAGGGACATATGCAAATGTGAATCTACGCCCGTGAAAAAATTGTGTCTTAACAGCTAATGGGCACCGGGCAGAAATTATTGTAGGGGAGAACACCAGCCACCCACCCTTTCCGAGTCACAACACGTGTCAATTTTGGCTAGATCTTTAATACATATCACTTGAAACTGACCTTCTTCGCTTCGATTTCAAATTTGTGTTTGTTTTTCAATTTTATTCAGTTTTCTCACAAGGAAAATCATCAGGACACCCTGTACCACAAATTATAAATTAATGCGGCCATCCTTATTGCACCTAAGGAGGAAGCAGACCCTAGCTAAAAGTAGCTAAAAATCCTAAATCCATTTTGTACGATAAACAAGAGCAACAAAAAACTGTAATCTTGGGTTACTAGAACGTAGGTATGAGGCCAGTTAAAAGACTAGTTGCGAAAACAACTAAATGGGAGGAAGAGTCGTACTTAATAGAAAGAGAATAAAAATAAGAATACTAAGAAAACTAATAATTTACAAGACATTCTCATGTAAAATTTAAAATCAACTATAAAAAAATGGGACTATTAGCAGATGGCCAATGTAGGCTATGTCTAAAGGAAACAGAGGCAACATATCATTTATCCTATGCAATTGCCCTAGCAAGGAAAAGGCTATCAAAAGGCGATCAAACCAGCAGAATCGAAATGGCTATTCTCAATCTCAAGGAAGGGAATTAGGAGGCTGATAGGTATTCTGACGGGCACTGCCCACTGAGAAGACACCTCGTCGTAATGGGTATCCTACCAGATCCCTTTTGCCGTTTCTGCGAAATAAAAGAAGAAACGGCAAGGCACTACCTCGCAGATAGGTATGCTAGGTCTAGATTTGCAATCTTTGAAGGAGAGGACATCACCAAATCACTCCCCGAGATAAAATGGTCCAAAATTTTGGGGTTTGTGAACAAGTCCAAGAGGTTTATGCAGGACACGTGAGCCGACCAAGTCCCGGAACTTTTAGGGATGAGGGTACGAGTCTACCCAGGCATTTAACCCCTCGGGTCTTGGGTCGCCCACCCTGCATAATATATATATACATATATATANATATACCTATTAAAGCCAATGCTGAGTAATAAAGGCCTCGATGCCATTCCTATTAGAAGAATTGTCCACTTTATTGAACATTTAAAATCATATAAATTTCAAAATTAAAAATATTCACACCATAAGAAATACAAACATAAAAGGCTAAATTTTATTGTTCAATGAATCAATTTAATATGGATATGTTTTGGGCCAGATACACAATATTTTTTTACTATTTTCACGTCATCGATTTTGCATTGCCAGGGATTGTGCGTGGGTTTGTAAGGTTGGGCTGGGTTAGGGGTAGGTTAGGTTAGGACGTGTTAGGTTAGATTAGATATGGCTAGATAGGGTTAGGGTTAGATTAGGGACGGGTTAGGTTAGGTTAGGTATGGCTAGATAGGGTTAGGGTTAGATTAGGGACGTGTTAGGGTAGGTTAGAAATGTTTAGGTTGGGTTTGGGTCTAAACCCAAAGTAATATGTTTCTTGAAAGCTTGATGAAGTAATTGAGATTAGAAGATTACCCCTGATTTTTTTAATACAAAAATTATAATATTAATAGGCTGATATCAACTTTATCAAGATAGGCTTAGAGTTAAGTTAGGTAGCCCAAAGGGTGATTAAGGACTCGGATCAGTGCATGGGGTTTAAGTCCTTGATTCAATAGACATGTATTATGCATGCATTGTGTATATGTCTATTATGTGAAAAAATTCATTAAAGGACGATTGCTTAAAGTAAAGGCAGAACTACTAAACCTTGAATGAAAGTAAAACTGTTGACTGGGCACTGCAAACTCTAGGTATGTAGACTCGGATCAGAAGAAACAAACCTATGCAAATTTGCCCAGAAAAAAGTACAGCAGAACATGTCATCTGTTAGTGCAAACATCTATATAGGCTCAGATTCGTACTTCTTGAGAAGGAAAAGTCTTGACGGACACGTATATCTGGTATAAAAGCTTAAGCTTAAAGAAGAAACTGATGGAGATTGATTACATAATAGACCAATATTGGTCACATTGCACAAAGTATTAAAAGGCAACTCCTTTTAACCTTAAACTTAGGTTAGGTAGGGTAAGTGTTAGGGACAGGTTAGGTTACATAGCCCTGATTCAATGTTTTTCCATGAACTCTCCCGGACTGAACAATTTTTTTTTTTTTATTGGTTATTTATAAAGGACTCTGACACTTAGCTATATTTTAGTCTTTATAATATTAAAGCATTCTAGCCTCATTTTTGTCAAAAAATTGGTAGGTCTTTATAAATTAACTTGATATGTTTGTGTGTAGTAGAGAAAGTGCACACCCATTTTAGTTTTAATGACAAGGCTAAAAATAAATTAGGATCCATCTTGTCGGGCTTAATTCCCAAAATGTAGTCTTTCTAGGTGAGCTTAACAATTATTGACAACAACAGATACAAATTAATTGTTATAATTTTGTTACTTTGATCGGCAATTACATTAAACATTAATGAAATTGATGCTAAGCTGAACTATTTATTTAGCAGCAGTAAAAATTTAGGTTATTAAGTTTATCCTTACTAGCTTTTTAATATTTTTTCTTTACTTTTTCAGAGATTTAAGTCACAATCATTTGCAAGTCATTGGTAAGAAGTCGCTACGTGGAATTCCAGCCATTAAAACTTTGTAAGTATTAAATTTTAAATAAATATCAGAATATGTTGCATGCTTTTTGGATCTTCAAATTTTTCTATAATTTGTAACAAATTCATTTTCAATTTAGACAACTGGATAACAACATGTTAATATGTGTTGATGAACAAGCAATAAAGAGCTTAAGAGAACTTGAAGTGTTGTGAGTATAATAAAATATATTAAATTAAATTTTTTTAAACATTTTATTTAAAGTTTTAATTCCTTCTTGGTGTATGTTAGGACACTGAATAACAACAACTTAACTAGTTTGCCTGCAAATCTTTTTGATGATCTTTTTCGACTGAGGACTTTGAGGCTGTCTGAGAATAAGTTTGCATGCGATTGCCATTTGGTTTGGTTGGCACGCTGGCTCCGAAGGTTCCCTCGACTCGGCCTATACACAAGATGTCATTCTCCGAACCAAATCAAAGGCCATAACGTTGCCGACCTCCATGACCAAGAATTCAAATGTTCTGGTAATATCCACGTTTTCTAAATTTAATATTGAACTGTAATTTTTATTGGTTTGTTTACAGGTTTAGTAGAAAGGGGTATCGGTGAATGTCAATCTGAACCAAGTTGCCCACATCAATGCCACTGCGCTAACGGCATTGTGGATTGCAGAGAAAAAGCACTGATAAGCATACCTCATCATCTCCCTGAATCTACAACTGAATTGTAAGTAAAACATAACTATTTAAAGTATAAATAAAGGTAAATAATTTAAATGATTATCTCTTTAGGCGCTTGGAGCAAAATGACATAACAGAAATACCTTCAAAAGGATTTGCATCATACAAACGTTTGAGGAGAATGTATGTTTAAATAAATATTATCTTGATAATAATTGAAATAATTTATATTTATCTTTTTTTCAGAGATTTGAGCAAAAATGCAATTGCCAAACTAGCAGTTGATGCATTTTCAGGATTAAAATCACTCACATCTTTGTAAGTAACTACTCTATTATTGTTCATTGTGCAAAATATAAGGTAGTGAAGTCTATACTACTTTTACATTATCATTGACTTCTAAACATATAGATTGCACCAAAGGCACAATGGGTATACCAAAGACTGTGGTAGAACTTGGAGGGTAAAAACCATTCAATATAATGCTTTTCGAGAAAGCATTATGAAAAAACCTGGAGCTCTTCTATGGTTTACAGACGGTTCCGATGGCATACCACAGCAATCTTTCAAGCTGAATGCCATTTCCAGATGAAGTAAATAACAAACAGCCAAGGGTGCAACTGTAAAAATACAGATAGACAGGCTGCTCTCAACGCCTTTCAAGCTTACCAGATCAACTCAAAACTAGTCTGGAACTATTGAATGCTCTAAAAAAAACTAGGATACATAAATAGTTTAATACTATCGTGTAGGTCATGAAGGAATTTCATGCAATAAGGCAGCTGACAATCTAAAAAATAAAAATAAAAAAACCTAAAAATGGGCCTCGGAACAACAGATAGGTCCAACATAAACATGTTGTGGCATAAACAAGAGCCCTAACAGCTGCAAATTCTAGGGTGTGCTCCAGTATAATACTATATAAAAATTGATACTAGTAGCAAATGGGCACTATCGACTATGTCTTGAGGGGACAGAGACAACAAAGCAAAACCTATTCAACTGGCAAGGAAAAAGCTATGGTACCTGGCAAAGCCGTTCCTGAATAATAAACCCCCCTAAAAACATATAAAAATGGGTCTGTTAACAGATGACCAGTGTCGACTATGCCTAGAGGAGTTAGAGGCAACATAGTATAACCTATACAACCGCCCTAGCAAGGAAAAAGCTGTGGTACCTATGAAAAGATCCCTGAGCAATAAAGTCATCAAAAAAAAGTTATCAAAATGGGACTGTTATCAGATTACCAATGTCAAATATGTCTAGAGGAAAAAGGGGCAACAGAGCATAACCTATGCCCTAGTAAGGAAAATCTATGATTGCTGGCAAAGCCATTATTGAGCAATAGAGACCTCAAAAAATTATAATGAAAAATGGGACTGTTAACAGATGACTAATTCGACTATGTATAGTGAGAGACAGCAAATTCTATACCACTTCATTATAACTAAGGACACCAGACCAAATACCTACCTACACCATATAGCTCATTAAAGGCTATGGTACTTAGAAAAAGTCGTTCTTGAACAATGAAGCTCTTGATTCATAACCCTGAGAATTATTTCCTCCATTAAAGGAACAAAATTTTCCAAGGAAAACATTAGCAGAGCACACGGTAGACCTAAGCAACCTAAAAGTTTAAGGGCTAAAGGGGATAAAACATATGACTGAAAAGAAAAAAAAACTTTTAAGAATTGAATTAGTCTTCTAGATGAGTTATTGGAAATCAGCCACCACTGCAAACGTTTTTGTGACTTTTATTTTCATAAGACTTTAGTTCTTCTTTGGAAATGGTCAGCATTATAAGCTTCTTTTTTAAGGTTGTTTTTCTCCTAGATCAAACATATTTTGCCTCTTTAATTGAGTAATTGACCTCAATTTCACATAAAAGAGTATGGTGTTTTATTATCTTGAAATGACGTTTTATTCTTATGTACTATAAAAAAGAATTATTCTTCTGTATAAAAAGATTATTATATTTTGATTATATTTATTATGAATATTTTTTTGTTTTAGAGTTCTTTATGGTAATAAAATCAAAGAACTTCCTGGAGGCGTTTTTCATGGACTTTCTTCCTTGCAGTTATTGTAAGGCTTTTTAAAATAGTTGTTCATATAAACAATCACTGGTAATCATTTTTATTTAAAATTTTAGGCTTTTGAATGCAAATGAAATTTCATGCATCAGAAAAGACACATTTAGAGATTTACACAGCCTTAATCTTCTGTGAGTTTATAAAATGGCTCTTATTCAGCGTTCCTTGTAATCTATGTTTTTTTCTTCTTTTACAGATCTTTATATGACAACAACATCCAGTCCCTTGCAAATGGAACATTTGATTCAATGAAGAACATCCAAACACTGTAAGTTTTTAAACCTACAAATTACATATGTATGATAGTTTATGATTTTTTACTACTCAACACTTTTAATTTATTGTCTTTTGTAACAATAGGCTGGTTAATGTTTTCATTTGTAATCTTCATAAAAAGTTTAAAAAATTTATACAATTTGAATATGTTCAACATAGGCACCTTGGAAGGAACCCTTTTATTTGCGATTGCAATTTACGCTGGCTTGCCGAATACCTTCATAGAAATCCAATCGAGACTTCTGGCGCCAGATGCGAAACTCCGAAACGAATGCAAAGGCGAAGAATTGAGGCTTTGAGGGATGAAAAGTTTAAATGTAAGGGTAAGCAAAAGCCAGGTGCATTATAGGTAATGGGCGGATTAACCAAATCTGATTAATACTCTTTCAATTAATTATACATTAAAAGTTTATATCGATCATTGCAATTCATTATTTTTTAAATAAAAAACATCATATTTCATAAAATTTTAATCTCTGCACTTTAATTGTCATCCTAACTTGGTAACCCTAACGATCTCTCCTGGATGAATGGTTCAGGCTCAACAAAAACCTTCACTCTTTGCTGTCTCATCTCTCTATCAATCAGCAACAACCCTTTTCCTGTCCAGCAGTCATGCCGTCTGCTATTTGCAGCTTTTTTTTTAATAATTTAAAGGCTGAAACCTTATCGGTCATTAAACCAAGTCAACGGCGCAGCCCGGCCCCCTCAGAGCGAGGCCCCCGCAGACCCTGGCGCAGTGGCAGCCCCAGGCCTAGAAAGAACAGAACCCCACAGATCTCTTGCAACTGATGCTTTTAGTCTTAATATTGCGCGCAGGACTTTATCGAGGAGGGGTCGATGTCTAGTCACCATCGACACCTCCTCTAAGCTCGCTGGAGATTCCTTGACCTCCGAGTCCGGGGAGGCACCCCTCAATCCAGCCCAAGACCGACCAGCACCCGAGGCCCCGCACGGGCGTCGCCAGAAGTCAGCCGCACCACACCGCCAACATGGGGAACTAGCAAAGGAAACAAGAGTTGAGGGGATGGGATATTAGATTTTATCAATTAGTTGGATATTTGCAGCTTTATATCAGCAAAAGCCTCCCTAACTCGACTCAAAATATTACTTGACAACAGATCTTTCACAGCAGAACAAAAATCACTACAACCAATCTGAACATACTGAATTAAACTGTGGAGTTTAATCAAGCATTGCAACCACCAATAAATCAAGTTACTTCAGTCTAAAATCCTTAGAACCATTGCCTTAGCTCTCTACTCCTTATCCAACATTCCCATAGACCTTCAAGTCCCATTTGCCCTCAAAACCACAAGAAGTCCATCATAAAATTTATAACTCATCCTGAACCCTTTCCAACAATCCTCCAGTAGGCCTAAAGCACCAATAACCTCATAATTTTCTCCCTAGCAAGGAAAGTGAAAATATTGAGATAGGAGTGTAATATTGGATTACTTCTGCACTTTTATATCTTATAATATAAAATTCATAAAGGCAATAAAGTTGCTTCTAGCTCTATAGTTTTCGAACATAATTTTTTTTTTTAAACTGTTCAATCCCTCCATTTAGATTCGCTTATAGTGTAAACTTGAATATAATACAAAATATTTGGCAATGGTCTATATTTTAATAAAAATTATCATCCATTATAAAACCAAATACAATATGTTGCTCTTTTACTATTCTATGCACTTGGCTCTGCTTTTAAAACTATTTTTACAAAGTTTACTGCATAAATTATCCTGCTTTTTTTTCACCAGATATATCCTCTTTAGTTTCCTTCTATTATTTCTTATGATAACCTGCATGTCTAATTAGGGAGTGGGGTACAAAACAGTCTCAACTCAATTTAATTTATTTACAATCAGGTGTCGAAGAGTTTCGAACGAGGCATGCCGGTGACTGTTTAATCGACACCGACTGTCCTAGCGGTTGCACATGTGATGGAACTTTAGTCGATTGTTCTGGTCGTGGGCTGAAAGAAGTACCAAAGGACATACCCATGTACACAACCGAACTGTAAGTATTGATTCAAAATTTCGTTAATTATCGACTTAAATTTTTTTTAAAAATATCATTTCTTTTTAGGATTTTAAGCGACAATGAAATAGGAAAAATTAAATCAGATGGTTTATTCGGTCGTTTGCCTAATTTGATGAAGTTGGATTTGAGACGGAACCACATTACTGGAGTTGAAGGCAATTCTTTCGAAGGGTGCCAGAAGCTCACAGAACTGTAAGGATTTATTTTTACATAATTTTATTAAGTAAAAAAATTTTAAATATTTTTAAATCATAATTTAATTGTTATGCATTATTGCAGACTGTTAGCTGAAAATAAAATTGGAGAGATTCACAACAAGATGTTCATTGGTCTTAACAATCTGAAAATACTGTAAGTATCTGTTGAAGAATAGCGAGTTTACTTAATTTGATCAGCTAAGAATAAAATTATCTTTAATATAATAAGAAACCAGTTCTTACATGGCTCAGAATTACAAGTCACCTGTTCACCTCAAATTCAGTTAGGCTCAAGATCATTGAATTATTTTTATTTTCTTTCTTGATTCCTTGTATTAATTGAAAAATAGCATATCGTCGAAGATATTATTATTAGATTAATTTTATCGAAACTTACAATGGATTGTGCATGGATTGGTTTACATTAGGTTAGGCTGGGTTAGGCATGGTTAGGTAGGGTTAGGTTAAGACGAGTAAGGTTAAGTTAAGTTGGGTTAGGTTTTAGGGTTGAGAAATGGGAATTGATAGAAAAGAAAAACACTCAGTTCCTTAGTCAAGCTTTTGAGGAATATAACCTTTTTATCAGGACAAATAAAAACATCTACCAAGCTAACCGGGAACTGGGTATGGGTTGGTTTAGATTAGGTTAGTTTGTTTTAGGTTAGGTTAGACATGGTTAAGTACGGTTAGGGTTAGGGAAGGGAAGGCTAAGTCTAAGTTAGTGTTTAGGGTGTATTGTGTGTTTTTAAATGAACATCTATTTACATTAATGAAATTTATAATTCCAAAATAATGAATTTCTGAGTTAATATTGGGACGAGCTTTTCAACCAGTCTCTTCTATCTCGGAATTGTCAATTCAACTTGGCCTTATCCCTGATTTTTTAATACAAAATTTAAAAAATTAAAGGTTGATATTGTTTTTATCGAGATACTAATTTTAGCTTTTATTTATAGATCGCTTTTTGACAACAAAATTAGCTGTGTGATGCCAGGATCATTCGATTCTTTAACATCCCTTCAAACTTTGTAAGCCATTTTACATTATTGTATACATTTAATTTATTATCAAAGATTTTTAAATGCATTGTTTAATAGGAATTTACTGTCAAATCCGTTTGTTTGCAATTGCCACTTAGGGTGGTTCTCTGAGTGGCTTAAAAGAAAAGAGCTTTTAGCCGGAAGTCCACGCTGTGCTTTTCCAGCAAGGTTAAATAATGTTTTGATTCATGAAATACCCCAGTATGAATTCAAATGTACAAGTATGTTTATTATTTATTATATTTGAATAATTTTAAAGAATGTTTACTCAGTGTAAAATTTTGATTGTAGGTGATAATGATCAAGGATGTTTAGGAGACAATTATTGTCCACCTAAGTGCACCTGTGCTGGAACAGTGGTGCGATGCAGCAAGGCTAAACTAACTGAGATTCCAAGAGGCATCCCTCCAGAAACATCTGAACTGTAAGCCTACACATGACATATCTTTCTAAGAATTCTCAATAATATCCCAGTTAAATAAAAGTTAAAACGATGTGGTTTTTGTCTAGATATTTGGATGTTAATGAAATATCTATGATACAAGCTGATAGAATCAACCATTTGAAATATCTCACAAGACTCGACCTGAGCAACAATCAATTGATGGTTCTATCCAACTTCACGTTTGTGAATTTAACAAACTTATCAACATTGTAAGTACAAAATGTATGTGTTCACTATTAAATGGATCTGGAAAATACTTAAGTATCATATTTTTTTCAGAATTATAAGTTATAACAAAATACAATGTATTGAGCGTGATGGTTTAGCAGGCTTGAAAATGTTACGCATCATGTAAGTAATTAGATCGTTTGTTTCTATTTAAATTCAGATTAATAATTGTTCTAACTTTAATAGATCTTTGCATGGCAACTTGATTTCAATGATCCCTGATGGAGCGTTCTCAGATCTTCATGCAATAACTCACCTGTAATTTGAAAATTATTTATTAATTTCCTTCATAAAACTATAAGCCATAACATATAAAATTTTAAATTACACTTTCAGTGCTCTAGGATCAAATCCACTTTACTGTGACTGTAGTTTACGGTGGTTAGCCGAATGGGTCAAAAGAGATTATGTTGAACCAGGAATCGCCCGCTGTGCAGAACCAGCTAATTTAAAAGATAAAACCCTCCTTACAACACCTTCATCACAATTTCAGTGCAAAGGTAATTAATATTATTAAGTGAAGATTATTTTTGGCATAATAAATACCATGGCAGATGAAATTGTTAAGACATATGAAACTCAGTAAAATACTGCTGTTTACTTTTATTTGTATTTGTTTTATTAAAGTGTTTTTCATCAATATTTAACTATATTGTATATTTTTATCATAGGACGTGTTCGAAATGACATATTAGCTAAGTGTAATGCCTGTTTCAACTTCCCTTGTGTCAATGGAGTCTGTGAACCTTTACCCGAAAGACAGTACAAATGTAGATGCTCTCCGGGATATCACGGCAATCTTTGCCAATATATGATCGATGCATGTTATGGGAATCCTTGTAGGAATCAAGGCACTTGCAGAGTTTTGGAAGAAGGTCGATTCAGGTATGAATTAATACAGTTTGTACATGATTGTTCAATTAAAATTTTGTTTTTTGTATTTTTAGCTGTGACTGTTCACCCGGTTTCACAGGAGCACGTTGTGAAAACAACATCGATGATTGCATACAAAATAAATGCGAAAACAACGCAACATGTATTGATTTAGTTCAAGCGTATGAATGCAAATGCCAGTCAGGATTTATGGGTATTGAACGTTTTTTATCTATACATTTATAGATATATTTTTGCATAAACCCTTTAATAATTAAATTCAAATGACGGATTAGGAAAACATTAGGATAATAAATTTTCATTGGATGTTGCTTGAATAGGATTCAGGTTAAAAGACAAAAAATGTTTATGCACAAGTCTTCTGAAATCTACACCTTAACTTTGATCATGTCTTTTACAAAATTATATTATTCACCTCAAATTCAGTTAGGCTCAGGATTGTTGAATTAATATATATACTCCTTCTTGATTCCTTTTATTAATTGAAAAATAGCGCATCATATTAAATAATATTATTAATTTTATTGATGGTGACTGGGGATTGTGCATGGGTTAGTTTAGATTAGGTTCAATTGGGTTAGGTTAGGATTGGTTAGGTAGGATTAAGGTTAGGTTAGAACAAGTGAGGTAAGGTTAGGTTGGGTTAGGGTTAGGTTAGAGACGAGTAAACTTTAATTTTGTTTATTTTTCATTAATATACCTATTGATTACATGAAAATATATTGATTTTATAATCAATAATAAGTTAATGTCAATTTAATCATTTTTTTATAAGGAACTGGATTTATTGGCAACAAAATTTTTTTTTGTATTTTGGTCAATCATTACCAATCATTTTGGCCTGTCTATCCTCTCTGGCTCTCTGGGTTGGTCTGTAGACACGTTTTGGCATTTCCCCATTTTCAGTGTATGATCTGTATGTGAAGATGGTTAAAAACACATCAATCAAGCTGGAGAAGATAGGCAAAGGAAAATGATTAATGACCAAATTATAAGTTCATCATACCTGCAGACATGTAAAACCCTCATTTTTTTCACAAGTTCTTTTTCTTGTAGAAAATTATTTTCACTTTATTGTTGGAAAGTCATTTATTTTTACATTTGATAGTGTTAAAAACAGGTGATGTCAATCTTCAGGCCTTTAATAAATTATTAAATAGTATGACCCTTATTGAAAATCTTCAAAATTCTTCAGTTGAAAGCTGACTTTTTAAACTGTTGTCAGCATTTTAACTCTAACTGACCACACATTCAACATAATTTAATTGAACTGCATTTGTTATTAATTATCTTATTTTTAAGGTGAATATTGCGAGAAGAAAATACCATTTTGCACAAAGGAATTTAATCCATGTAAAAATGGTGCCCGCTGTGTTGATCATTTTACTCACTACACTTGTGAATGTCCTATTGGATTTACTGGTGACAATTGTACAATTAACATTGATGACTGTAAAAACCATATGTGCCAAGTAAGATTCAATAAACTCTTAGTTCAATCATTTGTACTTTACCAATGAAATATTACAGAATGGTGCAACATGTATTGATGCTGTCAACAATTACACTTGTAAGTGTGCTGACGATTTTGTTGGAAAGTTCTGTGAGATCGCCCCGATGGTTGCCATGCTTTATCCGCAGACATCTCCTTGCCAACATCATGACTGTAAAAATGGTATTTGCTTCCAGCCAATGGGTTCAAACGATTATATTTGCAAATGTGCCCCAGGATACTCTGGTAAATAATTTTCTATAATACAAATACATCAGTTTAAATAATACCAATAATAAAAATCTTTCTATAGGCAAACAGTGCGAGTACCTTACCAGCCTTAGTTTCTCGTACAATACATCATTTGTTGAAATGGAGCCACTTAGAACTAAACCAGAAGCAAATGTCACAATGGTGTTTTCAACGACCCAGGATTATGGAGTGCTACTGTATGACGGTCAAACCCAGCATTTGGCTGTTGAACTCTTCAACGGGAGAATACGAGTCAGCTATGATGTGGGCAATTATCCAGTTTCCACTATGTATAGGTGAGATCACATAAAAACTCATAAAATTATTTTTAAAAGATGGATGGATGTTTACACACAAATTTGTGTCTTATTAAAATTTAGAAAATATTGAATCATAGATATGTAACCTTTCCTATTTCTAGCCTCACCTAACCTAACTTAACCTGTCCCTAACCCTAACTCTACCCATTTCTAACCTAACCCAACCCATGCACAATCCAACCCAAAACTATATCCCTATTAATATCAAAAACCACACAAATAAGGGAATACATTAAAGTAAGGAAATACAGAATTAATTCTAAAATTATTTGCAACAGCAAAAAAATTCATACAATTTGTTTCATAATTACGATCATTCTTCATTTCGTGAATGGCCAAATGAAGATGTGATAACAGTAACAACTAAAATAATGAGCAGTAGCATGGTCAGCAAGTCAGAATCTCAGCTCAAAGACCCCATAGTCGATCAATTCCCACTGTCCCCCTGGTCTTTTTTTCACACTCCCCTTCTCCCAAAAACAAAATACAAAAATGCAATTCTTTACTTTTGCCAATATTGGCAAAATAAAGCCATTAAAAAATATTGATGTAGTTTTTGACCTTCCCTTATCATCCTGGCCAGTCAGAAATTAAACAATGAACAACTAAATATGATTGTTCTTGATCATCAAGAACAGCTAGACCCAGATGATTGATGATGATCAAGGACCAGAACACACAAGGAAATTTTTAGTAAAACAAATTTGTAATCCTTTTCAGCTTTGAGACAGTCTCAGATGGGAAGTACCACATAGTAGAACTTATCGCCATAAAAAAGAATTTCACTCTAAGGGTAGATCGAGGTTTAGCCAGATCTATGGTGAATGAAGGATCTCAGGAATATTTACGGCTGACGTCTCCCTTGTACATTGGAGGTGTGCCATCTGAAGCAGGACAGAATGCGTTTACTCTATGGCATTTAAGAAATACCACAAGTTTTAATGGTTCGTTAGAAAGTTTATAGTTTCTTTGTTCAACATTTAATATTGTTATTTTCTTAGGCTGTATGAGAGAGCTCTGGGTAAATCACAAACTGGTCGATTTTACGAACGCAGAGAGACAGCAGAAGGTCACTCCTGGTTGCTCAACAATGCTTGATGAAGAAGAGATGGTTGAAGAAGATGGTGAAATTCGAGACCCTGAAGATGAAGAAGAAGATGTCGTGGAAGAAAAGGATCCATGTATGAAAAATAACTGTAAACACGGGAGCAAATGTGTACCGAAAAACCCAACCGATTATATATGCAAATGTTTACCTGGATGGAGTGGAAAGTATTGCGAACAAGGTGAGTTTAATTTGAAATAAAATATTATTGATCTTAAAATATTCCAGAATAGTTTATTGATGATTAAGTTTTTAATAATGGAAAATTTTATAAAATAAAAATGGGATTTAATATTTGCATTTCTTTTCAGCACCTACCTGTCGCAAAGAACAAACCAGAGAATTTTATGTTGAAAATGGATGTAGATCTCGGAAACCTCTCAAATTGGCAAAATGCGAAGGCGGATGTGGAGGCTCATGTTGCCGTGTCCGCAAAACAAAGCGCAGAAAGGTGCGACTCATTTGCCAAAATGGGACCCGGTACACTAAAGATATAGACATTGTGCGTAAATGTGCTTGTACTAAGAAGTGTTACTGACTACCTGGACCCTCCCTTTCTACACAAATTATTCTGCCACATCTCACCATGCCTACAGTATTGCCTAAATGGACCACTGCCAATATTTTATTCTTTTATTTTGTAAATATTTCTATTTTTAGTGCTTTATTTATAATTGTCATGTGGTCTCTTTTGTGTGGTTCATACATTATTTTCATAAAATTGTTTAATTCTAATATGTTTAGCCATACGATAAATGGCTTTTAGTACATGTAGAAATGTTTTACTTAATAAACTAAACTATTAATATCCATTAATAGAGATCTCATGTAATCATCTCGTTACTTCTTTTAAGGGAGCAGCAAAACTTGCTAATATGTGTTGTAGAATTTGAAAAGTTTAAAACCAATGTTTTAGAACAAAGTTTAGATTTTACATTATAACAAGCACATACTAATTGTCTTTATCCAAAAATTGAATTAAACATTTAAATTTAAAGAAATGTTTTCATTACATCTTGTGATATGTCCTTTCCCTTAAGGTTTATACGAGATAAAATACCGGAAATAAAAATTCTAATGACTCTTGTATACAACAATAGAATTAATTAGTATATGATCTACAAATAACTTCTTTGGAACTATGGAGTAAAATAATTCAAAAAGGTATTAAACAATAAAAAGTGGCGCTAATGCATTTTATGTAAACATAAGTTATACACTTTATTCCTGGAATATTTAAATACAAAATGATTAAAATAACTTAATGTATTACTGTCATATTCAAATTTATAAATGTTTTTAGGAGATTGATTATTGTAATACATATAATCTCTTTTATATGTAAACTACAGTCCTACATATTATCAGTTGCTTTTAAATAATCATTTACTAAGATATTTTTTTAATTTTTGAGTTGTACAATATTCAAACAGGAAAACTTTTCTTCTAACTTTATATGTTGAAAAATGTTATTCATTCTTGCTTTTACAATTCGGTGGACATTAATTGAAATTTTGTGTAAGCTAAGAAGAAATATAAAGACTCACCAGTGGAATTAAAAGTTAGGTGTCTTAAACAATTTTTCTTAACAATGGCACTAATTATATTATTTTAAAAAAATCATTACTGTAACACTCGTGTCTTTACAGAGATTCAATATATGAGAATAAAAACTTACGAATTCAAATTTAAAAACACAATGTTAAACATAAGATATAGAGATATTCCATGTTTTCTTTAATTATATTATTGAAAAGAAAAGTAGGAGCCCAGTACTAATAAAATACAATTGTTAGCTGGAATCTACAGTAGACATATAAATCTGTGTTGCTTTCATTGAGATTATCCTTTTAAACAAAGTACTGGTGTCACTACCACTGTTTTATGTAGTTATAAAATCCAAAATTCTTTAAAGTCAGCTAAAAAATTTTGATTCAACCTGAATGCTTTTTAATATTAATTTACCAATGACCTGTGTGCATTATTTTTGTACACAATTGTTTACAATTTTTATTTAATCCAGTTGTGTGTTTCCACTTAGAAAAGTGATATCCACAAAATAACTATAGTAAACTTAGTATTATTTGATAAGGTTGATTATTAACTGAAAGCATTATTTCTTTTGTATATAGATAATTTAACTATTTTATAAGTTGGATTTCTTTGCTGTTTCACAATTTGTTCAAGTGGCTATTCAACCCAGAGAGGGAGGGTTTTTTAAGATACGGAGTTATTTGAGTCGAATTATTTGTATTCTTTCTAATGTCATTATAGCATTTGTAACTTAATAAGACTAATTTATAAGTATTTTAGTTTTTCTTTTTGTATTAAAACCAAACAAGTATTGAAAGTGTTTACATTATTTGAAAATTTATGTAATAATCAACTGCAAAATACGTTTCAATTTTGTTAGGATTTGTTACCATGTACACATACATTTTATTGCTTAGACATAATTTAAAAGAAGTATTGTAACAGTTGTAAATAGACCTTTGCATTTTATTTATAAATGAATAATATACAAATATTTACGTAAACAATGAACATTATACATCTGCTGCCAAAATCACTGTTTTGAAATACAATCAGTTTGTTCATTCAAAAATAATTACAAGTGGCCTCTAAAAAGCTGTAAGTTGTGCTTATTTATTATTTTTTAAATCCGATTTGAAATAATGGTTTTTATATTGTGAATAATGACTATTTATATATATATTTTTTTTAGTATTTTATATTTCTGTTAAAACTATTTCACCATTATATATAATATTATATAAATATAATTATTTTTGTTTGTACAAATATTAGTAGATTTAATAAGAACAAGCATTTGTATAAAAGAAAATTAAAAAAGCAAAATGTAACTCTCAGTGCGAATAAATCTTTTACTTGAAAGTTATTTGCTGATAGATTTTAATTATTACCACTTTATACAACATTAAAAAGGTTTGTCAACATTGACATTTTTATTTCAAAGAGTCATTATTAACAAATTATATATATGTATGTGTGATGGCCTCAAGGTCGAAGAAACAGTTCAGAAAAGCTCGATCCACAAGCTGAACTTAAAATTTAAACAAATTAAAACATGTTGCTTTGTTTAGTTGGAGTCATCAAATTTCAGAGTTAACAATGGTGGGAATTAACAATGTTTTTTATAACAAAGTATTAACTATTAAATTTGTTTTCATCTCTGCATTTGAATTGAAAAAACTGTTCAGATAATATTATACCAAAAGAACAAAAATAAACCCAAACATGTTAGTGCCAGTACTAGTACAAATTTGTCTTATTTTTTTAAACACCTGTGTATATTCTTGGCATTATTTTATTAAGTTAAAGAGATATTTAATAACCTTGTCTCTACTCAATTTGCATGCATTATTAAAAAAAAAATTTTTAGTGGTTAGAGCATCTGACTCATGTGTATGCCACACTTGTGGTTTGACCCTCATCTGCAACTCCCAACAAGTAGTTGGACTTTAAGCCCTACTGCATGACAGGAATTACTTTACGTTATGTTACCTAAAGAAAAAATCTAAGAATACTAGAAATAGAAAGTTATCTGGAAGGCAGGACATAAAAAATTTGTAGTGGCTAATAAGACTAAATTGACTTCTAGCGAGGAAAAAGAGTCAATAATTTTGAATTGATTGAGGTTTAACTAAGGTCCAACATCTAACCCTAACCTTAACCCCACTTAACCTAACTTCACCTAACTTAACTCAATCCACCCTAACCTAACTCAATATCCAGGTAACGAGAAAGTTAAAGAAAGGTGTAATTCCACTCAGATTTAGGATACAGACCAGAATTAAGAAAATTATAACAAAGTATTAATGCTTCAAGGATTTTGACGTTTTCGTTAAACCATAACTGAAACTGTGCTTAAGAATAATTAACTTGGCACTGTATCCGGTTGTTCTTAAATTTTAATGCTATGACTCCTAGCTATTCAGGTAATAAAATTGACAGTTGACAATGAAAACTCATGTCACCAAAATCAGAATAAAAGCAAGGGAACTACTACAAAAAGAACAAAGAAGAGACGGCAATGAATATTTAAAGAAAAAGCTTAAAAAAAATAGAAAAACCTGGAGCTTTTCTATGGTATACATATTGCTCAAAAGTGTCAATAATTTTTATTTTAAACATTTAATGCAAATTACGTTCTGAGTAAAATTTAAATGTTAGTTATTACACCAAAGTTATTTTTGTTTTACGACATGCCATGATCTGTATCCAAAATGAACTGTGAAAGGTATTATACATCAATAAAAATATAATAACTACAAAAGTAATATTTACTGTATTCGTTTATGAATAATAGAAGAATACGTATATTACAACTTTATTACTATACTCTACAAAACATAAACACAAGGTATAATATTATATTACAATTAGTATACAAATAAATATATTTGTTTCTTACAGTAACTAGATTTTTTTATGATTTATGGTAATATACAATTCAACAAAATGTATGTACATCTTCACTATTTTTACGTTTTATTTTCGTTCTAACATATTAATTTGCTTTTTCTTTAATACAATGCTATAATATAAGACAAGATGCAGTACCAATATTGACAAAAACCAAAAATATTGAAATTTTAAGTGTTAAGAGTTGGTGTTTGCTCTATGATTTAGTGTGAGGGACTTTCACAGCTAAACCGTAAACAATAAATGGTTAATTAAAACAACATTTCCTCAATTTTTCTGAAACAAACACAGCGTATGTAATAATAATTTTTTTTTTTAAACAAAGAAGTTAATTAATTAGTAAGGTAATTAGTTTAAGAAAGCAAAAAAACTGTTTTATAAAATTCATCTCGTTCTTTTCTAATATTTGAATTTAAACTTTAATTTGAATAAATTTTAAAGAATACAAAAAGTATGATTTTATGTTTTTATGAGTATTTATTACCATTTGCTAATAAAAATATGATAATAATAATAAATTTTTCATGCAATTAGCTTAATTTAGCAATATATGATTACACAAGTTTCATTTTCATTTTTAAGTTCATTAAATTCGTATAAACTATAATATTGAATATTGCAAATTAATTCATGTTTAAAAAATGCAATTATTAATCATTAATTCGGTTTATACATCAAGCTGGATGTTATTATAATAATAAAATTTAACTAAAATTTCATAACATTTTATTGCAGTTGTTTTAAATTTGAATTCCAGTTCTTAAGTTAGTTATTTAAATTTTGTCAAGTGTTCTTAAGTTTGTCAGAAAATTATTTATTAGAAGTTGATAGTTCTAGTTAAAACAAATACTGTTTTGGCCCGAATAAACAGTAAATAGTGTACCATTTTATACATATCCATTATACAATTATTTACAAAATCAAAGAAAACCCTGCATATTTGCAGTAAACAAATTCACTAAGTTTTGATCTTTATGAAGCATCCTCTAAAAGTAATAAACTAAGTTCACATTTTCTTATAAAAAATATCTTGACCCAGTTTTACTACTCTCATTTTCCACTCCAGTCAATTATTTCTTCTTGCGTTTAATCATAAAAAGTCTCACTTTTTCACAGTATTTTCTAAAAACAGGCTTTTTTACTACCATGCAGGGTGGTGCATTTTTTTTGTAATGCACCTGCTTACATAAAAACATGCACCAACCTGTACATAAAAGTAACAAAATTCTATATTTGTCAAAATATAAACAAAGGTACAGGTTTAAAATAAATGTTTTGTTAACTGTCTTTCATTGCTTAAAATCAAATTTACAACCCTGATTCCATCATCGTGAATTATTTACTGAAAATAAAAGATATTTCTTTTCAAAAATGGGACTGTTACAAAGAAATGGCATACATTACATAATAATTAAACAACACCCTTAAAAAATTATTATTTGGAGCGAATGTAGACCCAAATTTCTAAACAATTAACTGAATATATAAATATCCTTTTTTGTATACAAATTAAGTTGCAAGTCTATATGAACAACACATGATAAATAATGAAATATATGCATAAATTTTGTCACATTTTATTTATTTTTTTAATAAAACATTTATTACTTCATGATAATAAATTACATTTATATCTAAAAAAAATTAAGTCATGTTATTTAACCGACTATTTCAACAACTTAAATGTTGATGCAGTTAGATTACATTATCTTTTTTAGATTACTGGAAAATAAAATTGACGTATATTATATAAAAATAAATCCACGGAGTTGAAGAATAAGGCTAAGAAAATTACAACATTAATGGTACTTTATGTTTTTAAACCATCATTTATTCTCGAGACAAATCAATTTGATGTTCAAGAATAATAAACCTTGTATTTCCACTGATAATCAATATAAATCTATCTAATAATTCTCAAAAAATAGTAATGATCTGATCACTTTTAGCCTTTGATAAGTTACTAATTTACAATTTATACAAGCTGAGAAGGATTTAATGTCTTTCATTTGATTTCATTTGATACTTATGGCACTTGGTATTATGCCGATCACTTTAACTATCAGTGATTGGCTGTTGTTTTCGCTGATTCATCTTCACTTTCTTCACTTGTTTCTAATACGTCTCTTCGCTTTTTCAAAGCTGCCAGCTGCTGCTGTTGAAGTTCTAAGTGCTGCTTCCTCCATTTTATCCTTCTATTTTGAAACCACACCTTCACCTGAAAAATCATAGAAATTTATACAAAGTAATACTATTTTTTATTGAATAAATTAATAGTGGATTACTATGGGTGCTCCTTATCAATATTCAAAATGTGGTTACATGCTGAAGACTTTAACATACATGCCTGCCTAAGAAGGCACATGCACCGGATAGGAGTACAGACAGAAGAAACCAAGAAGACAAAGAGACTGTAGAACACATTTTATGTTTTTGTAAGGGTTTATGGAGGTGTAGATTCTTGCAACGAGGAGAGGAAAAGCTGCTAGGAAGACTATTTAGCCAGTGACAAGGCTATAGAGGTTGATTAACAGTCTAAAGCTGGCCAGTGAGTTATAAAAATGGAGAAGCACAATAGATAGATCGAGGTGCAGAAGGACTTATGACCACTTCTCTTATCCCCTATTCTTAACCTCTTATCTCTCTAATCTCTTATCTCTAACCATCTCTACCTTTATCATGCATTCGAGATGCGATTTCAAAAAACCTAGTAATTATTTACTACATAGATGCTAGTGTGTAAAAGTAAGTAATAAAAAAGCTGATTCTTTTATCCAATTCATCTGACATGGATTCAACCACCTGAATTATTGGGTTGTCCGGAAAATAATGCAGGATTTTGGTATAAACAAAAAAAAAAGAAACTAGTTACTTTAAAGCAATGTTCTTTAATCAAAATAATTTCCCATACTCTCAATACATTTCTCCCAACGTGTTGGTAACTTATTAATTCCGTCTGAGTAGAATTCAGAATTTTTAGAATTGATAAAGTCAATAAATGCATTTTCCAGTTCCGTTTGATTTTTGAATATTATGTGTTGTAAGTAGTGGTCCAGGTGTCTAAAAAAATGGTAGTCAGTAGGCGAGAGGTCCGGAGAGTAGGGTGGGTGAGGCAAAGTTTCATAGCCAAGCTCCAATAATTTTTGTGACGTTACACGTGACACATGTGGTCGAGCGTTGTCATGCAACAAAATGGGCCCTTTCCGATTGACCAAAGAGGGCTTCATTACTGCCAATTTCTGATGCATGGTATTAATTTGGTTACAGTATGATTCAGCATTGATGGTTTCGCCAGGATTTAAGAAGCTGTAGTGTATTAAACCAAATGAAGCCCACCATACCGTAACCATTACCTTTTTTTGATGAGTTGGGGGCTTTGGAGCTTCTCCTTTGTCGAGCCACTGTCCAGAACGTCTAGTGTTATCGTAGAGAATCCACTTTTCGTCACATGTAACAATTCTGGCCAGAAATGGGTCATTTTTGTTTCGACAAAGAAGTGATGCACAAACATCAAAGCGCTGATTTTTTGGCGATCGTTTAATGAGTGTGGAACCCAATTTTCGAGTTTTTTCACTTTTGCAATCGCCTTGAGGTGGTCAGCGACGGTCGTTTTACTGACTTTGAGTTGCTCTGCAAGTTCTCGAACAGTTGTTTTGGGGTTTTCTTCCACCACTGATCGCAGAACATCATCATTAAGAGAGGAAGGCCTTCCACGACCTTCTTCATCTTCAAGGCTGAAATCTCCCTCCCGAAATTTTTTAAACCACCTTTGCACAGTGCACTCATTAACACAACCCTCGCCCCAGACTTGGTTAATGTTTCTAGCCGTTTGGGCTCCGCTTCGGCCGAGTTTAAACTCGTAAAAGAAAATCGTACGAAATTCTCGCTTTGACATTATAAGGATGACTGAATTATTTCCAAGTAGCGGAATGCTACAGAGGTAAACAAACAATATCATTTGGAAGAGGATTAATAAGTGTTGACATTCATACAAATGAGTAATCCTGTAAACGTAAACAGAATATTTTATATAGATTTTTTTTAATGAAAACTTAAAATCCTGCATTATTTTCCGGACAACCCAATACAAGGATGTCCCTTTTATTAAAGCTTTCGTACAGGTTATATATTCAACTGTATGATTAGATTACCTGGGCTTCTGTAAGTTGAAGTGCGTGGGCCAGGTAAAGTCTTTCCGGTCCAACCATGTATTGCTGCCGTTCGAACTCTGCTTCCAGCCTTTCAAGTTGCTCCGGTGTAAAAATAGTCCTTACTCTTTTGCACTTCGTTTTTCTCCCACTGTCACATTTATCTTTATCACCTAAAAACAAAAAATTATAAATATAGCTTACAAATACTTGAATTTTTTTATCCATTTTTGACTGTATCTGGGAATAGAGACACAAAATATGCTATGAAACCTAGAAAAGTCATTCTTGAATAATGAAGAAATTCTATACCATACTCCTGAGAAGAATTCTATGCCTTACATAATAAAAATTAGTATAAGCAGATTTTACTGGTTGACATTGCCTTCCCTTGAAGATTTAGAAGTTAATCCATAATTCAATTTTTTAATTTTTTTTCTTTGTTGTCTGCTACAATATACAGTAATTCAGATTGTATGAATTTTAATACAAATATACAATTTTTGAAGGCATATTCGCCGTTTCAGTTTTAATGATGTCATTACAAATTTGCTTTTGGACGACGACCCGTCGTTTTGCGCGTGTGCAATATATCAATCAATATGGTTGGGTTTATTTTCTGCAAGCTATGATGCAAAGAAGAAGGAAGAATTTGTGTTGGCGTTCCTATCCGAAAATTAAATTAAATAGTCATTAATGTTAAGCCGGTTGAAACACAACTGATCTTCCAAAAAACTCGAGTGGAAAAAATCGAGTCTTTTGTTTGCGCATTTAATAAACAAGATGTTGAAGATGCTTGCCTTTAAATCCCTTTGAAATTCAATAAATTCAGGTGAAACGTTACATTTTTAAGATTTCTCATTCAAATGACCATCAAAAAAACAGTTTAACGTTCTTTGTACGTATTTAAGGACTTTTTACATTCTTTGAATGTTTAATATGAAAGAAAAATATGCATGATAAAAATTATAATTCATTTTTTATACTACAGATCAAAAAGAAGATTTTTAAAAGTTTTTAAATTTTTCCCCTACCAAAATCCGTGATAACTTTGAAACGACCACACCAATTCACAGGAAACTTCACAGGGGTAGAAAAGCTCATAATCTACACAAGGGCATAATTTAGGCCCCCGTAAATAAAGTAGAACTGGAGATTTTAAAAAAAATTTAGGTAATTTTTGTTGATTTTATCTTTATTTTAGTTACTTGTAATGGCAAAAAAACTGAACGTTGTTAGCATAGGCTGAACGAAGAAAAATCCAACTTTCCAACGGCTTTAATATTATTAATTTTGGATAAAATCCAGAGGAGCTATGCATTTTTAAAATGGAACACATTGGAGAGAAAGAAATATAAACGGTCTGATCCAGTCAAAAATTCTATAAAAATTGACAACTTGAAAGGGTGGGTAAAACGAAACGGTATTTTTTCTAAACACCATTTTTTAGTGTACTTTACTGGAAGGGTCTTTTGGCTTGGGTACCAAGAAGACCCAAACGAATCGCAGCAATGACAGTCAATGGACCGTTAGACCCTCATTAGGTAGTGAAACAACCTACTAGTCAATAGAACTGAACTAAGGAAATTATATAAAAACAAGTACAAAATGCCAAAAGGTGCAGTGTTTGGGAAATTTCAAACTTCCATTTCCTGGTCTGTTCATCATCATCATTGGCATGAATCCGTGATCGCACGTCCGTAGCTTCACTCGTAAGTCGTCCATGCAGAATCAATTTTCTCTTCAATCCGATAATCCAGAAAATGCTTCTATCCTTAGGGAAACTTAATAATGTCATTGCCATCCCATGTGGATACTGCGTCATTGTGGCATTCGTCGTAATGATCTTTCTGATAGGACGTCCATTTTAACAGTCACAAATTGACAGAGTTCCTGGGGAAGTTTACGACAGTGAACTGAAGGAAATTAAGGGATAAACTAAACAATGAAACATCCCATACAGACGAAACAGTCCTGGCACGCCTAAGAACATGGGCTTATCCATGGAGTCCTTATGACATAGGAACCTCCTTGGATTGACCAAAGCCGTCAAGACTTACTATAGTCAAGCACATTTTAGAATAATGTAGTACATCTGGTTGTTTTGGTTTAATATTGTCTGATGATGGTTAGACCTCTTTGATTTTCTAAGGCTGACTTCCAATCCAAAAACAAAGGTTGACTGTGGGCCTAGTATTGTCAAATGGGCTTGAGTGTATAGTTCGCAGAGATCACCGAATTACTTGAATATATCAATAAACTAAATGCAGTCAGGCTACAGGGAACATTTTACCACTCAGACAGGTTAAGCTGAATTATGACGTTTTTTGATATGGTTGACCATGTCCTTCAAAAGATCGCTTCCCTTGGTTTCTCCTGCTCAGTGGTAAATTCGATGGAGTCTGACCCGTCAAGACAGAAGTGGAGCCATTTTCAGTTGTGGTCCCCAAAATTTGCCAAGAGTTCTTCTACTAGTGATTATTGATATTTTACTTTTTGTTATGCTGCAGGTGAAGATTCGAGGTAAATTTCATCCCTAGGTTGTTAACCTCGTTGTTTTTTAACTATAGCATTTCAGTATAGAAGCATAGGCCTTGTGCTACGCTTCTTTTCTTAATAAAACTATGTATTTTTATTACTTCTGTATACATATTTTACAATTATTGGTTCAATTTATACTTTTGGATTTAAAATAAAAATCATGGATAAGGCCGGTTTAAAAGAACAAAAACTAAGTTTCTTCGGTGAGCTTTCGAGGAATTCATCCCATTGATCAGAACTTTAAAGCTATTATTAATCGTTTACAAGGTTAACAGATATGAACATATATTTACAATATTGAAACCTATGGTTTCAAGCATAATGAAACTAGGAATTAAATTTATAATGGACGAGACTAATTACCAGTCCATTTAGTCCAAAATGATTGGGATTGACATGAGCTTTGGATTGGCCGAATAACGTCAATAATGAAACCAGCAGTCCAATCTGGTTACTTAGTGTAACTAACGTATTGAGAAACACGGGATTAAATGGCTCACTTTGAAAAAAAAAGTGGAAATTTTGTAAAAGGTGAGAAGGGTTGTGTAGTGTTAAGGCTAAGGTTTAAAGGATTCATCGTCTTTACGACCTTACCAATATTGGTCTATTACGGAATCTCCATTATTATCTCTTAGTTCACTAATTTCGTGGTCCGCTTGACCAATTAATACATAACAATTAATGAAGGGTTTTAGTTGAGATGAAAAAAAAGAAAACTCATAAGGTGGGGTTGAGATGGGGAGTTGATGTCCGAGTGGATCGAGGTCACGGTGGTAGAGCAGCGGCGTATCTAGCCGAAGGTCGTGGGTTCGAATCCCTCTCGTGCCATTAACTTTTTTTCATCTCAACTAAAACCCTTAATTAATTGTTATTATCTCTTAGTTTAAAGGGTTTTTATCAAATCCCAAAGCAAGAATTTTCATGTGTATCCTTCAGGTCTTGGCTTTTCCTCTCCCAGAGGAATCTCAGCCTGCGTAGGCCTTCACCAAATGAGGACATGTTCAGTTGTTTCCGCTTCTTCCTGACAATATTTGCACAGATTCTGCTGCTCAGAGCCCATATGTCTCCAGAGTCTGCAGTGTCCAGTCAGCACTACTATCATTCTAGTCCTAACACGCCCTAGGTTTAATAGTTCTGACGTTAGTTTCTTCGGTCCTTTAATGAACTTTTGGCAAGCCTATGTCCTGTAATACAACCCCATTGAACCGATTACTTATTTTTAATTAGTTTTCCTGAACTTTCCTTGGCCAATCTGTCGGTATCCTCGTTGCCCTGATATTCGAACAAGGTTAAGTTTGTTGTTGTCCTTAATGTCTGACATGGCCTTGATGCATTTCTTGGCTTTACTACCGATAAGGTAGTTGTGTTACTGTTGGTAATTCCCACCACGCTTTTTGATCTCCCTGACAGTGTTTTCGTTTTTTAGTGAGTAGGCTATTAGAGCCTGGATTTGTGGTGGTGGATTCTGGAGTACTTCCAAGGCAGCATCGTTCTCATTGCTCCAGTAATGTCCAGGCAGGAGGATCCTGATAGCTTTCAGTACCCGCTGTAAGGTCTTCGTCTACCAAACCACCAATCCATAGGTTACCATGAGTCCAACAACCGATGTAACTACAGGGAAATCTTTAGATCTAGTCTCCAGGTTTTCCCACTAAGGCAACATCTACCAATGGCAATTTTCGCACTCTGTATGATTTTATTTAGTTACTGATCCTAAGAAATTCTTTGGACAAAGACGACGCCTAGATGTGTTAGAGAATGTAATTACAGCTTCTTTGGGTAAACTAAAAAGGATCTGTGGAGGAATTTGTTGAACATTGCCAAATGTGCCAAATATCAAAAATATAAGAAAATTAAGAAAGAAATATTACGTTAACACCAACAAAACTTTATCGCTTAATTCACATTGATAACATTGTAAAGGTAAAAAACTTTTTCATCTCAACTAAAAACCTTAATTAATTGTAATGTTTAATTGGTCAAGCGGACCACGAAATTAGTGAATTTAATGAATTAACTGAAGTACACTTCACTAAAGCTCTCCGTCGCCATTTCAATTGTCGTCGAGAATCCAAACCGATTACACGACATTTGAAAAATGGCAAAAGGAGGGAAAACTCATAAGGTGGGGTTGAGATGGGGAGTTGATGTCCGAGTGGATCGAGGTCACGATAGCTCAGGTGGTAGAGCAGCGGCGTATCTAGCCGAAGGTCGTGGGTTCGAATCCCTCTCGTGCCATTAACTTTTTTTCATCTCAACTAAAAACCTTAATTAATTGTAATGTTTAATTGGTCAAGCGGACCACGAAATTAGTGAGTTTAATTTAAAGCATTAAAAAATTTGCTATTATTTTTAAAATATGAAATAATTGGGCTGTTAGGATACCATATAAAAATTAACTACGATTAAAATAACATAAAGTTATATAAAACTAAATATAAAAACAAATACGGGGTGAGGGGTCGGTGGCTGCAACGGTTTAGGCGTTGACACGGCGCTCATCACTGTAGGGTAAAGGTCCCGGGTTCGATTCCAGCGGTCAAACCCGACATACTTACAAATGATCTTTTTTTCAAAAACACCAGCACCCTGAGGGTTGAACCACTGCTGTTGCGAACCCTCGTAAAAAAAA